GTTAGAGTCCTACTCAATCTCTGTTCTGCATTGTAACTAAGAAAACTGTATCACCGTCAAAACAAAGCCAGTGAGATAACAGGCAAGTTTGGATGTAATCAATACACGATATCCAAAACTACTACACTTGGCTTATTTTTCAGTCTTAAAAAACAAAACAAAAACTAAACATTTTCAAAGTGAAAATTAAAAAACTATCAAGTAAAATAAACATGATGTGTTTGTAAATGCCGTTTGATGCAACGTGTTTAATTGCAAGAAATTAACATGCTTTATAATATGCATAATTTAAACTTGGTCATATGTGCCGTTTTTTTAATGACCATGACTTGCATAAAACCAATCCATTCTTATTCTTATTATTGGATATTCTATTTCTTACATCTGGTAAAATTGGAGCTCCCTGTTAACAAAGTAATAAGGTTACACATGTTGCTATGTATGAATATGCACAGAAGAAGGGGAAATGATGCGGACATTGAAATCCTGCTTTTTTTAACCGTATACATATATTTCTGCAAGATATATCAAAATGCTTGATTGTTCTTGAAAAACATGCAGGATTGACTAGACAGTTTTCAGAACAGGTGAAAACTCCCTCTTTTGGCTTATCAAATAATATTGTTAATCTCGAAATCTGATCTAAGTTTACGACTTTATTACTTATTTAATTAAAGTTTGGCGAGACCAAAGTCAGTCCCACTTTTCGGCCCTACTCATTTCTTAATGAGATGTCAAGTCGCACCAAACATTAATAGTAAATCATAATTAGTCTTTAGTAAATGATATTATCTACCAGTTGCTATATGCACTCTTTATGTTGAACTTTTACTAAAGTTAATTTTACTTTTCTTCTTTTTTCAGGTTGAAAAAAAAAGTGTTTGCCTATATGTCTTACTATTCTGTGAGATTGTAAAGGAACTTTACAAAATATTTTTTCATCACATACATTATCATAGACTTTTCCACAGTAGCAGTCTGTGTCCCATTGAAACGTTCTGTCGTTATCGATTCCATTAATAATAAATCTCATGGTGTTTACTCCACGTAGTACTGTAAGTCAGATTTTAATCTTTTTATTTTCGGTAATGGGCCTGACAAGAATGACGTCATCTTTGTACTTCTGGCCGCACGGAGGAATGTTTCACGAAGTCGGTGATATTGCTTTTACTCAATCGTTTGTTCTTGTGAAACTTATTAAATCGGGTATAATTGGGACCAGATTATTTATGAAAACGTAAAAGAATGGGCCTAATCGGTTTGGTACTAGCAGTCATGTGTTTAGCAGATACTAGGCTAAAATGCTACTCTAAACTTTAGTCCATACATTAAGTTTTGTAATCTTATATTAATATGTATTATTCTTTTTTGTATTTACGAATGTGAAATTTACAATATATGACGTCGATTTGTGTTTATGGTTAGGATATTTTTTGTTGTTGTTTGTTTTCGATAAAGACTTGCAGTGGGAGACTAGGTGTAATAATTAAGGGTTAAAGTTTACAGGGAAGTTATTTCTGATTCTTAATCATTTGTTGTAAACAGGATTACTCCTTTTCTTAAGAAATGCTAACTGACGTACTTGTTCAGCGCACTGTTAAATAATAGTTTAGATAATGTTTCCCTTTACTGAAGAAGCCGTAACCTTCTCCAGGGGCGGACTGTGCCGCCGAGAAAAATTCTCGGTGGACCGGCGGTCATCGAAAATGATTTTAATTTTTATTAACACTTTAAATCGAGTGCCAAACTCCGTTAACAACTCATACAGCATCATAGATAATATTAATATTTTAAAATTATTTTTGTGTGTAGTTTCAGTTACTGTAATTTTGTGGTCGTTTAGATCTGTACATTATATACTAAGACTGGTAATAAATTTTGGAATGTAAATGAAATATTTTGCACAATGTACTTTTGTTTAATTTGAGAATAGTATTGGTACATATTATTAGCTATGTATCATTAAGCGCAGCACTCCGCTCAGTTTTTTCAGGAATATTTCTACTCCTACCTCATTAGAGGGTTGGTATTAAAAATACTTTTCTCGAGCCAGTTTTAATCTCCAATCCACCTTTGATGTTTGTTTTTTATTAAACAAATACATAAGAAAATCTAGTATGTAACCTTAGTCAAACTGTGATGCAAAATACTGAATATGGTGAAACAAACTAAAGCAATGCATTATTAAATGTATTATATTTTTCTGTTGTTGTTTGTAAGTTGGTACCAACTGAGAAGATTCACTGAAGAAGTGAACCGTCTTGGTTTATATTTATACTAGGAAAAGTCTAATCCACACGCTTTACAGATGCAGCTGTGTATCTGGAATTGCTAATGCGCGTGGGAGGTGTGTTCTCAGTTCAATCTAAATTATTTAAAACTAAAAACCGAGTTTTACTCCAATTTCATTATATATATATATATTATTCACACACGCAACATTTATAAAATCGGAAACTCTTATAACTAGTTTGCAGCTTAGCTAAACTACGCGCCTCTTTGAGTTGTTTGTCCTGGTGGGGGGAGTTTGTCATCTGTTTTGTCAAAATGTTATCATTGTCTAAACGTAGATATCGTGCCACGTCCTATTATATGTTAATTGGTCCTGAAATGGAGTACCAAATTTCATCTTCCTATGGAAATTCCAAAATGTATATATTCAGTAAATAATTTTGTTGCTTAATTGGGTGATTGTCATCAATTATATATATTAAACAGATGTTAGAAGTTTAAACATATAGTAAAGACTATTTCGTTTGGTCTCGTCTGAGGCTTAGCGGTTAGTGCGCCGGACCGCGGATCAAAAAGTGTAATATTCGAGCCTATAAGTGTGTACGAGTTATTGGTGACAGACAGTCACTCTCTTTGGCTAGTTATTAAGGCGGTGAGTACCTGTGACTGATTACCCTCTCTCTTTGGTCAGTAGTTCTAAATTAATGACGTGTATTTTCGAACCTTGAGTTCTCTGACCTGGTCTTTTAGCTCAAGTGTACCATAAAGTGTTGTTCATGTTGAAAATACTGATACCAAAGTACTTGGTACAGTTTCAGAATTATATGTGGACTGACGTCTTTTATTGCCCTCACGACCACGCTCATAAGAAATTCAACATCAATTCAATGATTCGAAGTTTCGTTCGCTTGACGTTGCATAAAATCGTCAAAGTTATTATTACCCAATTTTAATACGAAACTGAACATTATGTAGTTTGGGTACTTTTCATAAATACTTTAAGAGTTCAGGTGTAAGTGTTTATTAGTTTCTTGGTACACTCACTGTACTATAAGTAACCTGATTTTTAACCATCTGATCAAATTTACAAAGAACAAATCCTACTTTTACACAAATATACAAAAAATCACCACAATCACATTTCGATACACAAAAACTTGTATGTACATATGCATTAAAACAGTTTAAGCAAGTAAACATGTTCATTAAAACATTAAGAAAAAGTTAAAAGTCAGCCATACCGTTGTAATAAACATCATCTCACGCTCCTTTGTGTTAATGATGTAAACGTACGGATATTTCAATGTTCATATTTACTTATGCTTATTTCATATAGTCATTTGATGAATATATCAATTTGGAACAGCCTTCTTTATGGCTTTTAGAATACAAACATGTACACATTGTGTGAAAGATGTAACTATTAAGCATTTTAAAGTTAATCAATGGAGTGATGAGTAACTACATAAAAATTATAAATGGGACTTTTAAATGTTCATACGATATGATGAAATGTATTTTACAACAAATGGATTTACAAATATAGCCACAAATTACTTAAGAGCGTTCTCGAAATACCACAAGTCATAACTGAGACCGAGTGCTGTTCGAACCCGTGATTCTGCTTTAGAGGACAGGTATTTTAGCTAACTAAAATAAAGCATCTGCCTGCAGACTCGCAGGTTTGAATCTTGTTCAGTCTCAAGTTCCACTTAATAAAAAATTTGGTGTTGATCCTAGTTTCACCTTGTTCGTATTTGGCCATATAAATCAGAACCATCTTCTTTCACTAATATGTGAAAGTCGAGCTGAAAGAAAAATTTAAAGTTCAAGATAAAAGTATAACGTGTACCTTTTGTGATGAATATATTGTAGGGAGTTTTTAAACCTGGTTAATAATTTATTCTTCTAACTGCAATCTTTGTGTCAAAACTGAGTGTTGATTGTCAGCGTGACAAATCACGCCGTTGGGCTTGTTCGCGTTTTCACCAAAAATAAACGTAAATGGTCGTTTACAGTTTTAGAACTCCAGTTTCAATGCAGATAACAAGAATTCCGAGACTAAGTGGTTCGGATCTCCCTAATATGACATTTCTCCTAGTAGCTTTAAAAAAAAATCCGTAGTTTCGATTAGTTTCGGTTTGCTATTTATGTGGAAACCCGACAATGTATGGGTTCCTGTAGGTTTCAACTTCAAATATAACATCCATTACACACTGAAGAAGAACGAAATGAAAAAGGTCCTAGGACAAGAGTATGACAATATGCTGACGTTCTTTGTATGCTCATGACAACTAACTGCTCAGTAAAGGAAACAGGGGGGAGGGGATAGCCAATTAGATCTCAATAGCTCAGGGTGATTGGGGTTGTAAACCATTTCAGCTCTTTTAACCATTTCTCTGTGCACAGGAACTACCTCATTGTATACAGCTTACTATTCCCTTCAAATTATAATGGAAAAAACATAGTTGTTAAAAAATATATATTTACGCCCATAAAAGTGCATATACATAACATCAACCTGTTATAACCGAAATTAATTCAATTTTATAAAGAGTTATGTCTGAGACCTTGTACACTTTCAAAATATGCAAATAGAAAATACTTTTGAAACTTGTCAGTATGACTATTTGGTTTTCTCAACAGTTAAATGAATTGTAATTAAGTTTATGTGTAAGCGAAAGACACAAGCTATACAAATAAACATGATGTGAAAACGAAGATTTACTCATACACCAATGAATCAACTCTTTCTTTTTACGTAGATATTTATTTAGTCTACAGTCAAAACATTATTCGCATCATGTCTTAACGAATTTAATGTAGACTTCACATCTATAGATAGGAGTTTTGGAGATTAACGATGAAAACTTCGTCAATGTTCTTGGGTGTCGTACGCTAGATTTAGAGTACACCATTAATGCGTAGCAGAAATTGACTGTGTCCTAACCAAAATATAGTTCCTTGAATGGGTAGGGAAAACTGATTGTGTCCTAATAAAAAATATAGTTCCTTGAACGGGTAGGGAAAACTGATTGTATATATATATATATAGTTCCTTGAACGGGTAAGGAAAACTGATTGTGTGCTAATAAAAAATAATTCCTTGAACGGGTAGGGAAAACTGATTGTGTCCTAATAAAAAATATAGTTCCTTGAACGGGTAGGGAAAACTGATTGTGTCCTAATAAAAAATAAAATTCCTTGAACGGGTAGGGAAAACTGATTGTGTCCTAATAAAAAATATAGATCCTTGCAAGATAAATGCTGTAAATGAAAAAAAAAAATCTTAACAGCTTTTAACTTTAATACGGGCGTTCGGGACAATATTCAAGTTAAATTTCTCCAATATTAATTTTTCTCAACATTTCAAAGACATAAAATAATAACAATATTCAAATGATCCCAATATACAACAAACAAAGCTCAACAAAATTATTTATCTTTCTTCAGATCACTAAAATTGCACACAAAAAATCTTCAAGTGTTTCATGTCATTCAAGATATTTCAAACACTTTGAGGATTCAATTGTTCTCTCGTTTCTCTTCATACTTTGCCTACAAAACGTCGTCATTATAAACCTGTTTCAAATATATGTTCAGCAAGTCAGTCTGCTATGCACACTAAACTCACTGACGTCATACTTCTTTCTACAATGAAATATATTGGCAATTACAGCGAAGAATACGAAGAAAGTCACTAACTAATATACTGATATTCTGACCTTGCACATCTTATTAATATACATTTATCGTTTGTAAGAATATGTCTATTAACTTGGCGTTTGTGCTCATATCAATAGCAATGTTATAGGTAATACTTAGGTACAATGACCTGGGTTCATATTAATCACAGCAGAAATGGGTTTGTTTGCGATGCCAAAACCTGGACCCGCGGTGATATCGTGTTGAACTTGTTCTTTTTCTTTACGTAAAATTTCCTCTTGTTTTCTGGCTTGCTTTCTTTCTTTGGCTCTACGGTTCTGAAACCATATTTTCACTTGACGCTCTGTTAGGCCTAACATGGTAGCCAATTCAGTTTTCCGCCGAATGGTGATATAACGACTGTAGTGAAACTCTTTTTCTAGCTCCAGCCGTTGGTGGTCGGTGTAGACAACGCGGTATTTATCTTTAGTTCTGGTTTTTCCTGCAAGTTTTATAAAGTATACGTTAAATGAAGAAAAACAAAATAAAGGAACAATCTAAAAAAATCTCTACTTCCTTAAAAATAAATCTGATAAAATATAATTCACCAATTACAATATTTAACGTTCAAATACATTTGTTTTATAATTTAAGCCTAAAATGTATACTTTTCCTGTCAGACGTAAGCTTTATAATACAGTAAATATATCGTACAGGTATTTGGTGTAACCTATTAGACAGAAATAATAAAATTTTGTCCAGATTTATTAAATAAGTAATACAGCTTAACAAGTGGTATATTCATGGCTGCGTCTTGCTACGTTACGTTTATCCCTAGTGTGGTAAACACAGCGGCAAACGACACAAAGTAAGTAGTTATAGATACAAGTTCTTATCAAACATCACACACCCCTGAATTACGGTGTGGAAAAGTGGCGGCGACGTACGACTGAGGCACCCCAAGCAAATGGTCACCTTTTGTTTGATGCCATGTTTAGCTAGCTTTACCGACAACCTGTCGAGATAAGCTATTGATATTCTTAGGTGAGGCACAGTTGATACGTCACGCGATCCAAGACTAGTGACAAAAGTATTTGTATTGCCATCAAACTCCTGTATTTTTATAGAACTCGGTAACGTTAAACGAGGATGTTGAAGTTGGAAGCCTTTCATTTTTTAAACTTATTGGTTGGTTAAGTGAGGTTCTTAAAGCGTTCTGAATTGCGGAAATTACACACTTAAGGCGCCACCAGGTGTCTAATTCTACCTACAGAATAAATTTACCTGGCTTTTAGACCCGGCACTAAAGGCTGTAGTTAAATAGCAATATCCAAATACTTGAATGACAGTCAGGACTAGGAATCTTAACCAGGACACTTTAGGTTCAGGATTTTGCGGCGGAACTGACTTTCCTGCCAATGCATGTAAGCCGTACTTAAGTTGCACATCTGTGCCTCAATCCGAAACTTAACGAAACTGTATGTCTAGGCTTATTCTGCAGTGCACTTAGCTTCCAGAAGGACATAATTGGTGGTTGTAAATTTGTCAGAAATCAGCAAGTTTAAGCAATCAGACACGCTACCACTAATGGACAAAATAATGTTTTTATTGTTTAATCCAATATATAAAAATGCTCCTTTGCCCTTTCAAAATGGGTTTCCTTATCAGTATTTTGATCAACATTTTTTTTAAGCTTTCAAGAATAATTCAAAACATTATCACCGTGAATGCATATATATACACAATCTCATGACGAGTCTTCTTTAGTATCTATTATCTAACTGCTTGAAATGTCTCCATGAATCTGAATATATCTAAAATGTATTTATTTCCTAGAAACAAAATGAATTTTGATGTATATAAATATGTAAAACAAAAATCGATGCAAAAAAAAGGAAAATAAAATGCGCTTTGGGATTTACATTACCTTGAATTTCACACAGTGTATTTATTTTTGTTGTTAAGCATAAAGCTACACAATGAACTATCTGTTCTGTGCCCACCACGGGTATCGAAACCTGAGTTTTAGCGTAGTAAGCTTGTAGGCTCACCGCTGAGCCAGTGAGGAGCGTTCCATACGGTGATTTAGAAAATACTTTCAGTGAGAATAAGTAATAAACTTTTAAACATGCTATAGTATTTTATTCTATTAGCATACAATAATCTGTATTTCGAACTTCGGTAAAGCTACTAAAGCTATTGTCCCCTGGTGGGACAGTGGTAAGTCTTCGGATTTACAATCAGGGGTTCGATTTCCCTCGGTGGTCACAGTAGATAACCGGATGTGGCTTTGCTATAAGAAAACACCCACACTAAAGCTGTCTGCCGCCATCCTTCATTTTGAACTACTCATCAGAAGGAAGGTACCAAGTCAGCAACATACTACCATCTATGTCTCGCTAGTTCCAAAATCCAAAGCTCTACCACAAGACCAACCCGCGCTCCAATAAATAACCAGGCGTATCTAGTATCAAACATGAAGCTCGATTATATTAGTTAATACTGCCAGAACAAAATAATTTTCTGTGTTAGATTTATTGTGAGTGTATGATCCCACAATAAATGTGGTAGTGTAAATGTACTACAAGCTCCTGTCAACAGATTGTGCTCTGCAAATATTGTTGTGCACAGGTTTTGACCTTATTACAAGGTGAAAATGCAAACAATGAGAATGCCAAGGACATGTAGTCTATGAAAATACGAGAACCATCCAAATCCAACACATAGAAGACGTAAGTAACCTAACACATTACAGGCACTTTGTGTAAATTTGTAAAAATGTATGTGTGCTTTTTCTTATAGCAAAGCCACATCGGGCTATCTGCTGTGTCCACGGAGGGGAATTGAATCCATGATTGTAAATCCGAAGACTTACTACTGTCCCACCAGGAGGCTTTTTTAAAAAATAAAAGAAACAACCATGCACTCAAATTGGTATCAATTTGGATAAAATACATTATTCCCATTTCTTAAACTTCATATAAAAGTAATGGTTTATAGATGAAAAACGAGGATAAAATTATCATTCGCAGATGTGATGTTATCTTATCAATTTTTTAAAGTGTAAGGAAATAATGAAAGAAAAATTTATCGTGACGGAGCTTCTCTTAGAGAAGTAGAACATTAATCATGATGGATAAAATACGTAATTGAAATGAGATTTATAAATCGTGTTAAAAACTGAAGAAAAGTTTACATTAAATCATTATTTATGCTTGAAACATTCAGGATATCAGCACCTGCAGCTTGCGAGAGTAAGGAGTAGTGTCCATCATACGCATGTTTTCAACCTATCTACTTGTTTTAATTATTATTTACACGAAATAAAAGTTTTAGATAATAGAATCTTAGAACATTTACAAAGATTATAGAGTATTATATTCAATAGTTCTTTTGTATATTCTATAAGTACTCAGTTTAGTTTTAACGAGCAAACTATCTTTTTTTTTAATGAAATCAAAGAATCTTCAACGATATTCCGATGCCACATCTACAGAACTTACTGTGTTTTCGCCAACGTACAAATTATACACATCTCTGTAAGTTGCAGTCCGCGACTTATGTCTTGATTAAATCAGTCTAGGAAAAGCCAGATCAGTTAATGTTCATGAAGGTAATACGATCGGTCGTAAAACTTCCTTCAAAATCACCTCGGGACCAATTTGCCAGAGTGAAACATCTCGTTAAGAATGCAAACAGCCACAACCACATCCGAGGGTGTATATATGGAAATTGGTACGAACTGCTCCGTGACCGGAATTAAACATGTTTATAGGATAGAAGCAGATCAAGATTACGAAGCATGGTAAACAAGGGTTCTGTCTAATGACTATATGTGGGTGAATAGCAGTGTCTCAGGACCTGATTGCACAAATCCCTATATTTTATTGAATTTTAAACAAGAGGATGTATAAGGTATTAATTTTGAGCTACCAATAAAGATGAGAGACAATGTTTAGTCTTCCTTCTTCTGATACAAGGTTCGGCGTCACAACTGTAAAGAAAAACTTTCCTAATGCATGAAAACACAGAGCACAAGGTTCATAGTTGTGTAAGTGATATCTTTTTTTAACTACCTTTCTAAATATGAAGATGTTTGAGGAAAAATAAGATGTTTTTTTTTAACAATTTGTGCGCAAAGTTACACAAACAGCTATCTGCTTATAGCTGTCTCTAATTTTGAACTGATAGGCTAGAGGGATGGCAGCTAGCCAATAGTACTATTATAACGCATCCACATCTCCAAAGTGCGGAGAGTGCTTTTGTGGCAACGAGTTACCAATCATAAACCCTTGGATTCACAGTTTAGACAGGCTAACAACTAGACCACGCCCGATTTTGGTATTAAACAACTACGCGCTACACTACACACTACGGTTATGTTAAGATATTAAAGTTGTGTTGTAATTTATGTTCATACATTTTGATTATTTAACTTGCTTTATTTGCCTTTAATCAATATAATATAATGGTCATTTGCACGGATTCAAATTTTCATTAACTCATAAGTGATGTTTCAACAGTGAATCACGTATATATATATATGTTTTAGGATACTTATACACCTATAATTCAATATACTTTGGTTACTACAAGAATATCTTTTGATATACGCAAGCATAACTATGTAACAACAATAGCGGGTACTGGATTAAAGACATTGTATAATTTAATTATAAAGAGGAGAGGTGTATTTAATGGGTTTCATATTGGTCACTCCCGTAACCGCGTTTAATCAACTAATGACAAAGCAATTTTACATCTGTTTACCTCAAAGTCAACCACTGCCCTTATAACCCTATGATTAGACAAACTTTTTAGGAAGTAACTGACGTTCATAACGACGAGCCCCTTTCAACGTATCCACAGGTGTCAAGCTGAACCACCCGGCTGTACTAGCTAGGTGAAGCAATTTTCCCCCGAGAGTAGAAATTGTCGCAGGTTGTCCTTTTCCTCACAGGTGGACCAGGACTGAAGGTCAGCAAGAATTGTCTGTTGACCATTAAAGGTGGTATCATCAGTTTGTCTCTAGCGACATGGTGAAAAGCAGGGTGCCTCACGAATACCCATGTCGAGAATGATAATAAAGGAAAAGGGCACCGCGTGTTTTACGTTTGTTGGTAATTTTGCCACAAGTAATAGTCGAGCGAGCTATCGCATGGAGTTGTATAATATATTGTCACCACCTTTGTAACTACAGTAAAATAATTATTTGTTCTTTTTGTAACGTATTATACGTTCTAACTTCCGCAACTTACATGGTTGGTAATGAATAAAGGTAGAAATATTTTGTTGTGTAGTTTTACCAGGAATTATGATTTACTTGCGGGGGGGGGGATTCTCTTCTGTTCTTATTTCGCAACGTTTGTTCATTATTACAGCTTGTACTGTCTTCGGTAAGTTTTGTTTGTTCGTTGAATTTCACGCAGCTACTCGAGAGATACAAGCACTAACCGTCCCTAATTTCAAAATGATAGACTAGAGGGAAAGCATCTAGTCAAC